TGGGACACGAAACTGTCTCCTCTTTAGGATTTACGGTTTGCTGATTGATCGAGGGTGACATTAGAATATATGATAGGGCCAGAAAGCTAGTACAGTGGGTAAGGCACTTGACTTCTATACAGCCAGTCAGGCTTGATGCCCTGAGCCCCATCAGGAGATAGGCTCAGCACAGAGCCAGGAGTGAGCCCAAGCACCACCAGGAGTGGTCCCAAGACAACAGCCAAAACGAGCATGGAATTCTGGCCTGGGGTGGCCCGGTGGTTGGAAACACATCTTCCTTGTGAGGCTGGTTCCATCTCCGGGGTCCTTTAACCCCTCCAAAATATGATAGATTGTAATCATTAGCCTTTATGTTTTCAGTAGTTATCTGTTGGGCTGGAGCGATAGCCCAGCGGGTAGGGCCTTTGCCTTGTACGCGACCGACCCAGGTTCGATTCCTCCGCCCCTCTCGGAGAGTCCAGCAAGCCACCAAGAGTAGCTCACCCACACGGCAAAGCCTCGCAAGCTACCCGTGACGTATTTGATATGCCAAACACTGTAACAAGTCTCGCAGTTTGTTGTGAGATGTTACAGGTACCCGCTCAAGCAAATCGATGAGCAACGAAGGACAGTGCTGCTGTGCTACAGCAGTCGTCTCGTGTTCTTGACATCCGTAGGACAGCTTTCTCACTAGGGAGTCTCATGTTTCATTTATTCAATAGCACTACCTTTAAAGCTGGAAAACCTCGGAGTAGGCAGAGTTTAGTGTTTTCGTCGGGTGAATATTTGTGTTTTATTAAGATTCTCCACTGTTACATATAAAGGTAGAAAACAGGAAATGGATTTGACTCAGAATAAAACATATGTCTCTTAATAGACCGTGAGATTATAGAAGCAGATTAACTGAGGAATCCCATCTGGTATTGCATTTTTGTTTCACTGAAATAATGTGTTACCAATTATTAAAAGGGGGCCAGAGAGTCCGCTCATCAGGCTGAATGCATGCGAAAGACCCGGCCCGTTTTCAGCTAAACCCAATCCCAGGTACCACAGACCCTGCTGAGTGACCCCTGAGCTCCAGACTGGGAGGAGCTCAGTACACTGCTGGGGACAGTTCAGTAACAAACACAGCAAAGTAAAAACTAAACAGCTAGTTAAAAAAAAATCAAGCACGTTGAATAGTGTTTAGACCAGTGTTTCTCAGGTAGGTCCTACTACTGCCCTTTCAGAAGCCTCAGAATATTCCCAGGGGCCACTGGTGAGAGTGTAATGAAGAGGGGTGGGGGAGCATGGCACACGATCAGGGGCCGATCAGTGGTTTGGGGTTGGGCTTGCAGGAAGGGAACTGGTCAGAAGAGACCTTGATCCCCACAGGGTCGCGAAATTCTGTCTGAGACCTTGGCTAATCTCTCTACTCTCGTTTGGCCTCAGGGTATCCATCCAACCCTCTCCAGAAGGGGCAATGACCAAAGGCAAGATAAAGCTTCTGGAGAGGCTTCAGCCACCACTGCAGGATTTAAACTTTAAAATTGTTTGATTCTTTCATTTGGAATAATTGTTCTTACGTTGAAAAGAAAAAGGAAGTTTTTTAAAATATACTTCACTAGTAGATCTTGAAAGGTTATGAGAAACCAAGTCTGTATATCAAAGAGGTAAAATTTGCCTGCTAATAGGACATTTCTGTTCCACTAAGGGACTTTCCCCCCTTTGCATAACTCCCTCTCTGTGTCAATATTTAGTGTCTTTGTAAAACATCAACTACAGAATTTTTTTTTAGAAGACTGAGGTGTGATAAGCGGCACGGAGGTTCAGTGTGGAGAGCAGGCAGCCAGGGCAGCTGTCACTGCATCGTATGTCGTCGGGAATGTGCTTCTAGGATCTGCCTTTGGAAACTAAAGAGAATTCTGAGAGATCTCATACCTGACCCTGGGTGCAATCAAAGGCTCGTAGGTGGGATACGAAACGCACTTCTCTTTGGGTTTTGACGGTCTGTTAATTGATTGAGATTGACATAAGAATGTATGATAGGGACAGAGCGCCAGTACGGTGGGTAAGGCACTTGCCTTACGTGCTTCCAGTCAGGCTTGATGCCCTGAGCCCCAGCAGAGATAGGCAGCCTATCACACCTCACTCTTCTGAAAAATTCTGTAGTGGATGTTTTACAGAGCCAGGTCAGCAGCCATTTATAATGGCTGTTATCTCTGTTCTAGACTACTCTGGACATTAGGATTATCGTAGGGAATAAAGCAGATGAAATCCGGTATTTTAAAATATCACAAATGGTATGAAAGAGCCATTGGTGCTTTTCTGAGGCAAGATAATTTGCGGGTGGGGGGGGCGGGGGTGTTTCAGTTCTGGCCATTAAACGGACCCTACCAGTTATCACACTCGGTCCCTTGTAAGTGAATTTCACTGGGTTTGTTTTTTCTTTATTTGCACTGACGAGAATCGAGGTTGACCGGGATTGAACCCAGGGCCTCATCACACAAAGCATGCTGGAACTGCTTTTTAAAATAAAGATTTTGTTAAGAAAGATTCAGTGGGTTTGGGAGCAGTAGCTCTGGGGGTTAGTGTGTTTGGTGAGACCCCGTTTGATCCCAGGGTCACCCAAGTACGGCTGGGTGTGGCCCCTAATTAAAAAGGGGTGGTGGGAGATAAAATTGATCTTAAATGTCCCAAGAATTCGATTTTTTTTTGTCTTTGAACTTAAAATATACTAGAATTTTCAGCCTGCAATTTCCAAGGTAGTGTTAGCTATTTCACACATAAATTCATCTTACAGGAAGGCTTGAATCCTCAGTGAAAAACCCACCTTTCTTCAGTGCCAGAAAACAGTGACCTAGAACTTAGCTCTTCTTAAAAAAGGGTTTTGTACAGTCAGGCATTACATCTATTCCACATGAAATGCCGGGGCCAGATTTGTTCCTTACAGCTTCATTGGACATGCTTTGTCACCAAAAAAAAAAAAAAACTGTGTTTGACGCCGGATATTCTTACCACACGTGCGCAAAAAAGGCCTGGTGCCACCATTTCAGTTCTATTTTACATAAAACCATCATAATATATCTTGGTTCCTTTATGTCAGAAACATTTGGAAGCATATTTAAAGGATTTTGTGTCATCCTGTTTGCATGGTGGTAGGTGCCTGTCTTGTGACTTGGAGGGCTGAAAACTTGAAGTGACTGGCCGGAGATGAAACTCTTCCACTCTGCTGAGTCTTCCCGGAGACTGCGACGCCCACTTTCATTCTGCCACGTGTTTCCCGCGGGGACTGGCAGAGACGGAGGCGTGTTGGTCATGTGCCACCCCATATCAGAGATGCCCTTCGTAGTCTGCATAATGATTATCATTGGTTTAAGTGGAGGCTTCTTGAACTTGAAGCTGAAATTGTATCTTCCTTTCTTTTCTTCTAAATGAAAGCCTTTGTGGCTGGGGAAATGCTCCCAGGCCTGGGGATCTGGGTAGAGGTTGCGTACCCATGCTTTGCATACACCCTGCGGGGTTTCCTGAGCACCAGCCCAGGAAGAGCCTCCAACTGCTGCCGGCTTCGATCCCAACACTGAAGCAAGCAAACACGCACACACAAACAAGCACATACTGGCTCACACGTGCTAACACACATAAGCGAACGCGTGCCTCTCTTCTCTTGTACATGTTTTATATACGTAAGTCCTCGTCAGTTTCCTTGGGGTTTCTTATATGCTAGAATATTTTCTAGATATTTTCTCCACTCAGTGTAGGACACGATTTTCTTAGCTCACATTCTGCATGCTTTTACATCTGACTTGTTTATTTCTCACATGTGGTGCTGCTCTTAATTTATCTCCTAGTTTTCTTCTTCAAATTGTATTCCACTATCTTTCTTTCCTGGCTAATGACAAAAGGGATAATTTATTATTATCTTCAGTATGCCCTTACCTGCCTAAGGAGGTAGTTCAGTGGTAGATAAACTGGAGTACTTGAGACTCAAGGAGACCTTCTCCCACCCTGCCTGGGCTGGGTCATCCCGTAGTACTCTGGGGTGTGTGGCTGGGTGACCCAAGGCTTCCAGCCTTCTCTGTCTCTCCTAAATTTGAATCTCTTCCCCTAAGAAGATGCTTTGGCCCACACTGTAGCTCTCGCCCAGCACTTACCTTGTGAAAGTGTAAGGCCCAGGAAACTTCCCAAAAGACAGAGAGGATTTTTCATTTCAGTTTGCCAACAAGAAATATTAAATGATACTCATTTCCTGTGACTTAACTAAGACTATCTTAATTGATTGACATCATGTCTAAAACATAGCTCTTTTATCTTACACATGAGAGAACTCAGAATAGAAAACTAAGCTCTACTTTGTTGACCCTTTGCTGACCCCAATGAGGTCAACAGTCATTGATTAGTATTGAAGAGAAGTGGTCACGCATACCGATTTTTTTTTAATCATTTCCCAAGATTTGACTAAAGATTTAATCTATTCTTCCCTATAATTAATGATAGCATTCTAAGTGTCTTTATTTTTATTTTTTAATTTTTTTATTGAATCACAGAGATACAGTCACAGAGTTGTTAATGATTGAGATTCAGTCGTACATGTTCCAACACCTGTCCCTTGACCAGTGCCGGTTTCCCCCAGTTTCCCTCCCCCACCCTAGCCTGCCTCTTTAGAAGATAGATACACCCTCCTTTCTCTCTTCCCCCCCACCTCTCCCTCTCCCTCTCCCTCTCCCTCTCCCTCTCCCCCTCTCTCTCTCTCTCTCTGTCTCTCTGTCTCTGTCTCATTTTCCTTTTAGGCACTGTGGTTTGCAGTGCTGTTATTGAAAGGGTCTCATAAATATCACTTTGCTTCTTTTCAGCAGTCGATTCTTGTCCAGAGTGATCTTTTCCAACAGTTATCCTAAAAGTCTTATCAAGAAAATTAGGGGGAGGAGGGAGTTGTCATTTTCAGTGACCGCTGTTTGCATTAAAGGCATTATCTTTTTTTATAAATAAGCACTGTATTCTTAAAAACTTATTTCTTTTGTTTGCCTTTCTTTTTAAACTAGATCCTTACAATAAATGAGGATGGATCACTTGGTTTGAAAACCCCTAAATCTCACGTTTGTGAGCACTGCAATGCTGCCTTTAGAACGAACTATCACTTACAGAGACATGTCTTCATTCACACAGGTATTTCTTAAATTGTATTGGGCTTATCACCACTAAAGTGAATATATTTGTTATTTTTATATAACTGTTACTTATTCATACTAAGACCTTAACTAACCCACTATTTCATAGGTAGATATTGGGCAGAATGTCAGGAGGAAATCAGGAACAACTTTAAATGAGAAAACAACTTCATGGATGTACAAAATTAATCAGTATTAATCAAACACTGGTTTCAAGTAATGTATTTTTTTAACCTGAAGAAATAGTTAAAATTGTAGTATTTATTTTTCTATATAACATGTCTAGGTGGAACGTGAAATACACATTTGCAAGTCAATTATGATATATTTTAAATAAAAAATGAAATTATAGCAGAACTAAAGACAGATATAATTCATGGGTTGAGTTAAGGTCAGGACAAGGCTGGTACAGAATTATTGGGGAAATCTACTGAGGAAAATAGTGTCTCCGAAGCCAGAAGAAGAGAGAATTCCAAAGAGGGCATATGATGAGCAGTATCAAACTCTTCAGAGAAAGTAGAGAGGGAAAAAGAACTGAGGACTCAGAAATAAAAACCAGTGGAAAACATAGCAAGGCTATCACAGGTAGCTTCTAAGAAAGCTGGTATTGAGGATTACAGCATAGGGTGGGGTTTGAAAGAGCTTGAGACACAGGGAAGGGTCACTTCTCTGTGCTGTGGTCCCAGAGGGAGGCAGGGGACTCAGGGAGAAGCATGTGTCAGGATTCCCAGGAGCTTCCCAGCACACGGTCGACTGAAGAATACGTATTGTTCCTTCAAGTGAAGGCTGCAGCTGAGAGAGACCGTCTAGAGATGGGAGTTTCTGTTGGGGCGGGGGACGGGCGGGGGGTTCATTAGAAGCACTGGTTCTGAAGTAATGGTTAGTTGTGGAGAACAAGGTGAGTAGACCTCTTCCAGATAAAAGGAACGTTTGAACGCTGTACTTGTATAGTTTTTTCCTGTTTTAGTAGCTTTTATATTGTTTTACAGATCTTTTTCCATTTAAGGACTTAGATCAGATTTAATCTATTTTTGTGTAATTTGAAAATGACTTTCAAAGTTTTATGGGAAATGAAATGAAGTTCTGTTAATTCACGTTACAAGAATTTGCATGGAGAATTTGAAATTGTACCGAATTTGTGCTCTAAGATTTCTTTCCTTAGAAATAATAACTGCATCATTGTACTTTATCCAGTGACTAATTTATGAATGTGAAATTATTTCAAGGTGAAAAACCATTTCAATGTAGTCAGTGTGACATGCGTTTCATACAGAAGTACCTCCTCCAGAGACACGAGAAGATCCACACCGGTGAGTGCGCCTCCTCGCTGGCTGTGTGACCCCAGCTCCGTGGGGGGGGGCGGGGGCACCAACACCAGGGCTCTCGCCTCTCGAATCAGCTTCATTGCTTTCTAAATGTAACGCAGCGCTCCCCCCGAGCCCCCTTGCCCCCTTCTATAAATCACTGTCTACTCATAGGACTGACTTTAATGTTTAAGTCCGGCAAGCCTGTGGCAGCAGCCCACGAATCTGGTTTGAACCTCAGGCGCCATGTCTAGTCCCTGGGACAAAACCAGGCCTAGCCTCAGAGAACCGCCGGCTGTGACTCGCATCTGCCTCCAGAAAGCTGAACCTGTAACAGTATCAGAAAAGCGGTTTCTTGATCATATAAGGTGCAATCTTTTCTCTCAACCTTTTCTGTTCCTACAGCCTAGAGCGTAATCAAACACTGTCCCACATGGTAGCCTGGACCACACACAATTCCTGAAAATTTGAAGTGTTTCTAATGAAAAATATAAATAAAATAAAAAATAAACTTGGCAAGTTACAATAACTTAAAAATGACAGAAGAAAGGACATTTTTGTGATAATAGATTTTAGTTGCGTAACAAGTTTAGAGAAAATGAAGTTATTATTTATAGTTAAAAGTTGGAAACTTCCAATTTTTCAGGCAAGTTGTTGATTTAAATATTTCAGAAGATCACTATAAAGAGACTCATACCTTGAAAAAGCATGGGCTTACTTTAGCGCAAACATTCTTTTACATTTATTATCTTAGCTGTTTTGCACATATGCAAAAATCAAGATTTCTGTGTGTTCTTACTATAGTCAGCATTTGACCTTCGAGGCCTCCGAACATTTCTAAAGTGTTTCTTTAAAATTTGCTTACAATGTTTTGTCTTTTTGTTATAGAATATAAGCTCAGTTGGTGAATGTGTGTAGTTTTAGATTTACATTTAAATTGAATTAAGAACGATGGTAAAATGAATGAATATCGGAGCCTTGTAGGTCTTCCTCTTTCTCTGTGAAACGTACTGCCTGTTCATCCGAATCATTCTCTTTGCCCCTAACAAAAGAAGCATGAACGTGGCAGATGCGCCTCACTGAGACTGGAGCGCCTCGGGTAGCGTGTGCTGTATATCACGTTCTCGTTTTGAAAGAGAATTTGCTTCCTGCAAATTTCAGTTTCTTAGACAGTTTTCTTAGAGTTTGCATTCTAGTGGGAAAGACAGCCAGTGGAGCTGCTGGGATAGTGAGTGTTGTGTGAAAAGGGTGAACCAGCTGTGCTGTCAAAGGCTATACTGGGAGGGAGCACAGGATCACTGCAGGAAGATTTCTTAAGAGTGTTTCTTTGGGCCTGGAGAGAACATGGGGCTTGAGGCGCTCGCCTTGCATGCAGCCGCGACAATGGTTCAAATCCTGGCGTCACCTGTGGTCCCCCGAGCACTCCAGGGGGCAGGCCCTAGAGCCAGGAGGACCTGTCAGCCCCCTCAGAGTGCTGCTCTTTGGAAAAACAACTACACTAGTCCCGGGATCCTGGATTTAAGCAGGTATGACAGGGAGTGAAAGTATGGAGAGTTTACCAAGACAGGACTGTGCTGCTTTTTTGTTAGTGGTTTTTGATTTTAAATATCTCATTTTATCCTCACAGTTTTGGAAGACAGAAGTTATTGTTACTGTCCCTACTTTTTAGACATCAGAGTGATAGGAAGGATAGAGAAGCTTCAGCAACTTTCTTAAATTCATATGCACCAGGGGCTGATGAAACCATGGTTGAAATCCGAGTCCTTGACTCCACGGTCCCCATGGGAGAGCACTCACAGGGCCTCTTCAGCCTCCTGCTTCCCTCCTGTGCTCCCCGGGCCTGGGGCTCGGCCTCCTCCCACACTGTGGAACCCTGGGAACATCCGGGCTTCAGCAGGGCCCATAGACCCTGGTGAAATACACTGGCACAGAAAAGAAGAAAATGAGTGACAGCAAATGAGTCACCAAGTGGAGAAAATTAGCTTTTTCAAGAGAAACTCGGTTTTGCCTCTCCTGGTCAACACACACACTCACGCACGCACGCTAGCAGCTACACAACTTGTATTAAGGGAATAGATTTTCCTTCTCTGCAGCATCATTTTCTTAATTCTTTTTATACTTTCCTGAAGGTAGTACGATACTTTTGTCTTGTAATCAAATACCTTTAAATTTAACTCACTTGAGAACATTTCTGAAGCACCATAGATACATGGCACTCATCATTGGTTACTACTGTTCTTTCATATTTTAACTGGCTTTATTTTTGGAGTGTTAAATGTACTGAAGTTTGCCCTGTCATGCTTTCTCTCTGTGTTGGCCTCTCGGTTTAGAAGAACGCAGTGAAAGACTTATGGCAGGTGAAAGTTTTACAGTCTCCTGTGTTATCAGAAAGCTAGTACGTCGTTCGTCACTGTTGGCAGAGGGGTGAGAAGCACTGCAGTTCCTCCAGACTCCACGGGGGCCCTTAGAGTGCCCTTCCTTCCCTGTGTCCAGCCCAAACCCATCTCAGAGACGTTTGCAGCACAGGTTTAGAGCATCTCTGCCTCGAGGGGTCTTTTGCTGCCAGTAAAGAGATCTCTCTGGCTTTTCTCTGCTCTTGTGCAAATCCCCTTCCCTCCCACCTTTGCCACTGGCTGTCCCTGCCTCACGGGCCGCACAGCTGGGGTAGCACTTGCACTCAGGCTTGTCACCAAAAGTGGTGTGTGCTGCTTGTGCACCTTGGTCCTAGTGCCTGCCGGCGTCGCACAGTTTTAGCACACGTGTCCTCCTATGCCTTCTAAAAGCAAAAATGTAGATAGTTCGGTTTTCAAAGAGAATGATTTAAACTTGCCCTGAAGTAGGTCCTCACTTAATTCTGTTTCCGTAAATTTGGATTAGCCTCATGAAATGCAGAGTTAGGGGAGAATGCTTTCTTCTAACCCAGAGACTGTTCTCTGAAGTCTGATTAGAGTTTTTTTTTTCCTTTTTTGTCTCCCCCTCCCCCCGCTTTTTGGGTCACACCTGGCGATGCACAGGGGTTACTCTTGACTCTGCACTCAGGAGTTACTTCTGGCAATGATCAGGGGACCATATGGGATGCTGGGAATCGAACCCAGGTTGGCTGCACGCAAGGCAAATGCTCTACCCGCTGTGCTATCTCTCCAGCCCCTGATTAATCCTTTGGCCCAAGACACTGAAGACTGGCAGAATGCCAACCCTTGGGACTGCAGCTTTTGGCAGTTGTGGGAAATTCGTGTGTGTGTCTGTGTCTGTGTCTGTGTATGTGTATAATAGATTCTTAAGGGAAATTTTGGGTCATAGGAGAGAAAGTAAGGACTTGAAGGTCATAATCCTTATTGGTCATTTTGCTTATCATCAGAATTATTTCTGAGGTATATACCTCGGCCAGGCATTGTCTTGGCAGAACTGGTTTGATCAGGTATGTTAAAGGTTAAAGGGATCATTTATTTTTTTCATCTTTTCTCTCTGGAATGATATAAAATGACAGATGTCCAGTTGTGTTCTTTGTCATTATTTTGTGGTTATTGAACTGTAAGGAAATACTTGTCCGTTGCCACGGGGTGCAGGTAGGATGTCTGGAGAAAGAACTCAGAATTGTTTTCCAGACTACTCTAACCATGCAATATCTTCTGAATGTTACAGCAAATTATGGGTTTTTTGTTTTTATAGTTACCACAGTTTTTATTTTTTAAAAACGTTAGGAGACCGTTTCTGCTAATTAGCATAATTTTTCCCACTGAAATAAATGAGATTTTGGAAATAGAACAGGTCATTCAGAATTATACTTTTTATTAGGCTTCCCCTTAAGTTTTCATTTTTAAGACCTAAGTTCTTAAATCTATATATACCTTCTATAGATATAAATGTAATAAGAAACTCTGTAAAACCTACTTTGTAAGAGAAAACTTTTCATGCTTGAAAACATACTTTGAATCTTCCTTTTCACTGACTGACTTCTGTTCCCAAACATGTTAAATGGCTGAGTGATAGCATTATTATCTTTTTTTTAAAAAAAAAAACCAGTTGGGCTAGTGGGGTGGAGTCAAAGAAGTTGATTCACCTTTGACTAAAACATTTCAACACTTTCTACTTCTTTTACTGTGGTTGTTATTAATGTCATTTTTTAAGCCCTGATTTATCGTTCATTACCTGTAAGAGAATCTTACTAATAGGAAATGATCCAAGTCTAGTTAGAGTTTAAGTGCTGCTTGTGACGGTGAAGGAAGCGAGTGTGCCCCTCAGACCTTCCCTTGCTCGGGGACTGCTGCCCAAGACCGGGCGTGGACAGAGCAGAGCCACAGGGGAGAGGGAGGGGTGCAGAGTGTCGTGGCTACTGCTTGGCAGTGTGGATTTAGACAAAACACATAGGAAGTCAGTAGTCTGTAGTGGTGGGATAGAATGGAAATCAAGCACCAACACGCAGAAACTGCACAGTTCCACACCCCAACCCCCTCCCCTTGTGACCTGTTGGTTTGGGGTACCCCAGCTCTGCTCCGCCCCTGGGCTGCTGGCTGCGGTCCTGGGCCATGCTCTCGAAGGCTGCCTTCCGTGCGGTGATTTGTTTTCGCGTTCTGCATTGGAACTGTGAGGACTGCTGCTTGCTCCCTAATGTGTTCGTATTTGTCCAGTGTATTGCAGGGTTTCTTTGTCCTCGAATCCATTAAACACGTAGTTTATATTGACTGTGGTGAAAGAAAGTAAATGAGTCAGTGTTACAACATTGTATCTTGACGCTTCTCATTGTTATTTATGTCTAGTTAGTGGGTGGAGTAGAATTTAGGTATAATCGTTTTCCCAATCTCATGAATCACGTGGTTCACAGTTGAACAAATCTTAACAACCTGTGCTTTGGAAACTAGATGAGACAGATCAATGAGGATTCAGATTGGCAGCTTCGTGGAAGGGGCAGACTTCGCTGCCAGGAGTGAGTGGCACCCCAGAGGCTGCAGGTGGCAGAGGGGAAGCATAGACCATGGGCCATGGAAGCTGACAGCCAGATAAAGGCT